AGGTTGATACAACCTTAAATGGTTCTGTATAATTCCCCTGCAATTAAATGCCTTCTAGACATTTTTTTGCCAATATTTTTGAAGTGGATACAAAGTCACTTTGTTCCTAAATAAGCAGAAAAATGAAAGTGTTCTCAGTTTTGTGTGCAAGAGTGATTGACAGATGATACAGTGGAGGAATGGGAAGCAGATGTTACATTAATTAGTTTTTATCTTTTTAATAGCCTTTTCCTTAGTAACCAAATTTTATTTTCCAACAAATCCTCAAACCTTAAGTGTTTTGGCTTTGATATTATTATAAAGAGAGCTTCTAAAGCCCCTTCCCCATGTTTTAGAGTAGTTGAGCATCCCCAGTGGTGGATGAAGAGTTTACACACAAAAAGGGTGCAATGCGGAGTGGCTTTGGCTGCCTCGCACTATGGTGTTTAGCTGTGCCACGCTTTTGAGCTCACGTGTAGCTTCCTTCATTTGCAAAGTCATATTGGCTCCAGTTCATTGAAATTCAACACAGGAAGAGTAAGTGTTCACAGAAAGGCTATTTGTAGGACTTGTTACTGGACCCTAAATTTGGAATTGGAAAGTGTTCCCAGATGGCCTAAAAAGTGAGTATTTTTGGTTCTTCACTGAAGAGGAGTCGTATTAAATTCAACAAGTTCTCTTTATTAAACAAGTTGTGGTCCTTCTTAAGCATATCTTGGCTCATGGTTTATAGAAAATATTCTTCAGTTGAACAATGTATCTTTGAATAGAACAGAAAAGTATGTAAGAAGGTGTTGTTCTTTCCTTTTTTGTGTACTGTCTGTGGTTGTATTTCCCTGTGGACAGAGTTCCTGTTTGTGGAAGACAGTGACTGGATTCTTTCTCCCTGAATGGCTATCCATTCTGGGTAGGCATCTGAGTAAGGGCTAGCTCCCAAATTATCTGAGAAGTAAGTGATGCTCTCTCTTCTGATCTATCTTAATTCAAATACCGTGTCTGATAGGTTTCACTTAGGAGTTCAGACTCGCTGCTGCACTTTGACTACTCAAACCAGAAATCTCCAGTGACGCTCCCTTTGCTTACTCTGGCTGGCTTTCATTTGAACTCTTTTGGATCTCTCTACATATGAAGGCATGCGTGTGAGTTCATCCCTCCCTCCCTTCTTCCTCTGCATTGACATCACCTGAACTGCTTAAATCTTCTGATTTAATTTTCACTTCTATAGCATACTTGTGAAATTCCTAAGATTTCTATTAAAGATAACACAATATCTATCAGCTCCATCACGGTTAGATTTAGAATTTTTACAGATGTCTTTTTTCAGATAGTATCAGTGACGTTCATGTAGAATTGTTATTCTGTAACTGAGTGTTTTCAGTTACTGCAGGTATTTACAGTCGTGTATAAACATGAGGTTAAGAAAGACTTCTTTTAGGTGGGACCAAAACAGACAGATTTGCAAGCAGTGATTTAGCTCTGTTTTTTGGTGTTTTTTTTTTTTTTTTTCCCCTGTTAATGTCTTGATCATTGCAACTGCTAAAACTCAGAATAGATGGTAAATTGAAGACCTAATTTTTGCTTGGCATTTAAAATATTCTTAACCTGTGATACTCAACAAAGCTACTTGGATTTGTAACTTGGTCTTTTTGGAAATCCTGGCAACTTTGAATGGAGGAGTCCTGCTTGAGGAGATCTTGAAACTGTTTTGTTAAAACATAAATTCCAGGAACAATGCTAATTTCTAAATCTCCTGTTTCTGATGATAGTTCTTCTCTAATCAAAGTACTGTTTTTTTTCAACTTCTACTCTTGCTGCATTCTGTTCTAGAGACTGAAATTTTGGGAAGTGCTCATTAACTTTTGGATGTTTCACTTTCTCACCCAAGTAACCAAGCTCTTCCTTTGTCAAGGCTTGTTTTGAGCAATTGTCTAAGATCACAGTCTATCTGATAATAACTAATCATAAAAAAATCTATTAAAAGTCTATCTGAAAATAACTGACTATAGTGCAGTTTTAAGGCCTTTAATTTTAGTCTTCTATAATGCCTTTTTTCAGCTGTGCATCTTGTCATCTTTGGCTATTAGAAATTCTAAATTTCAACATTGAAAGTGCTAATTCCTTCTGGTAGTGTTTCATTAATGCTTTGTGGTTTAATATTTCATTATATGCAGAAGTCAAGAGACATTACAGAATGAAAAGTGCTGTATAAGTTTTATTCTGTTGTCTACTTCTTGCCTGTTATGTAGCAGAAGTGCTTACTTCCTGTTGATTTTCCAGCAGTGAAAATTAGAGATATTTTTCTTACAGGTAAAATAATTAATGCTTTAGGTGAAAATGAATACGATTTATGTGTGTTCAGTCATGCAGAGTATCAGCTTGTTTTTTTTAACCATATTGTCAGTTTCTGGTGGTTACAAAAACAGTTTATTCAGAATTTTATCCTTTTCACAATAAATTAGCACGTTTGGATTTATTATCTGGAATCTCCATTGCACGCATGGTAGGCTAGAGTAAGCATATTATCTCAGAAAGCCTTGACATCTCCTGAAAATATTAAATGTTTCAGAGACTGTAAGAAGCAAACTAAAACTGAAGGTAAGCACTTAAATCAGCACTATTTTATTTGTGGGTTTCATATTGTCAGTGATGCGCTCTCTGTATGTACACCTGAAATAAGTAACATAACAAGTCTTTACACCTGAATTTCTTTAGTGGCAAGCTTAGTTCTGTTTATTGATGTGGTCAGCCAGTGACTGCACCTTTGCCTACATGCCACATTACTGATTTTACATCTCCCAGAGGCAGAATCCCATTGTTCTTTTCAGTTTCTTATTATTTAAATCACAGTGTATATCTCTCTTACAGAAGCCTCCTGATGGCTCTTCTGCTTTCAGTTTTTAATTGGAGAAATTTTTACTCTGTCCAACTCTACAAACCATTATATATATATACTTTTTTAGTGGACCATTACTGTTTTAATGTTGGTATAAAAAAGTTCTCAGCCTCCTCCAGCAACACTTGCAATCAACAGAGAATGGAACTCTTGCAGAGGGCACCTAAATACATATGGCTACTTGTTCTGAATAATCTAGAATAGGATCCCTTTCTCTGATTATTCTAGTCTAGCAACAAATGGACTAAATGTGGTAAGCAATCACAGAATTGCTCAGGTTGGGTAAGACCGTCAAGACCATCAAGTCCAACCACAATATTGAGCTCTAAAAGTGCTTTGTTCATGTTTCATGAGAGTCGACTTCAAAAACTGTGTAGTGAATTTCCCTAGGAAAAAAAATACTGAGCTAAATGTTCTTTAAGACTTAGCAGGGAAATGTTTTAGAAGTCTGAATAAAATACAGTTCAGGGCCAATTTTTGCCCGGTATGTTTGTGTTAAAATCTGAATTCACACGTCTACTTCCCATCAGATTGGGCTTCTAGAAATCAACACAAGGAATAATCCCATGTTACAGAATGGATTTTAATTTTCTCTGAAGTTAAAGTGGTTCTGCTTTACATTGGAGCAAAAACTAAGCTTTGGCAATGTGGTGAAACATTAGAGAATACTCCTCAAATTAGTTACAGAAATCGAATGCCAGGGCAAATTAGAAAGAGGCAGGAGGGGGTGAAATATTTTATTTTAAAAATGCTCTATAAAGACAAACAGGCAGTAAATTAGCAAAAGAGCTTTCACAGTTATTCATGGAAACACGTTTGAAAAAAACATGGGGTTGGTTTGTTTATAATTTGGCAGAATTTTCCAGTGTTTTGTCAGTTTTCCACAGGCCTCTGTGCATAGGGCTCATTGGGAGCATCACCAGAAATCTTTGAGGATGACTTCAGAAAGTGACATGGAGGAAGGCAGCTGAAACGGCAGTGGAAAGCAACAGACTCAAAGCCAGGCGTTTCTTTTGAAAATCCTTCCATTTCAAAGACATATATTTGAGTAGTAGATATGTGAAGTGGATCTAAGTGAAGGGATCCATGGATCAGGATTCTGTGATTCTGTGATCTACCTGCATCTAGTCCTGGATACTTCAAAAGCTGCAGCTAAAAGTGCAACCCAAACTTCCCATGTGTTTACAGCAGGTGGTATTAATTTATGTCATTTAGATTAATAGTTGTTGTTTAACAATAGCTGTTGATAAACTAGCTTTGTTATAACAATATGCAAAAAACTGCATTGAAACTGAGGGGGGATGGGATAGGATATGACAGCCAAATGCTCCACCCTGTATTTATATATATATATTATTCCTCTGTCCATGCACAGAAATGGTAACTTCAGTTTACTGGGAGTAGTGAAAAACAGCCACTTGCAAATTAAGTGAGACAACAACAGATTGGAGCTGTATATATATTTTTTATGTTGCTTCCAACCACAGTGCAAGTGTTAGGAAAGTAGAGGGAAGCTTTATTGGGAAATATATTGGTTTTTATTTCAGTAAATGCTTCTGGCTCAAAGGCGCCCATAGCTTAACCTGGTAATCGGTGAGAAGTAGAAGGGCATGTGCTGGCAGAAGAGAAGAGAGCTGTGAAAAGATCTGTCCTTAGGACCTGTCTATCTTTCTGTTTGTAATAAAAGTAAGAGAAAAAAGAAGCAGTGTTATCAGTACACTTCTGCAAGTGAATTAGCTAGCACAGATTTGATAAAGCTTATAAACCCTCTAGAGCAATCGTGACAGTTTGCTGGCTTGGGCTTTGTCTGCTGCCAGTTACTCCTTGCTAGTGGCACTCTTTATTTATGCTTCAGTACCACGTTATCCTCTGGGCTTCAAACAGAAGGGACCTGTCTGTAAGTGTTTTGGTTGTGGTGTTAAAAAATAAGAGTGCAGCAAAACACATGCAACAGTGCCCAAATCCGTTTCAGCTAGTTTCCCTTCTCATGGTGGTGTTTCTCTGCGATTGTTGGGTACGCACTGATTGTGGCTGAGGTGATGTATGTCTGGCTTCCACTAGAGAGTGTCACAGACTTATCTGAATGAGTGAAAAAATTCAAATGGATGCATCATCTGCTTTGTTGTAGGCAAAGTGGCGTGACCTCAAAAACAGTAGACAGGTATGTCTCTGTGTATGTTTTCCATTTCCTATCACTGCCCATTTGTCCTTCACTGTACAACTAAAAATGAACATAATTCAGGAGGCAGCCACATTTTTACACATGCTAGTTTTTATCCACTTGACAGTGCATGCACATTAATGTTATGATAACATGTCATCTGATGTATTTTCTTCTCTTTTGTTCTCAAAGTAAATATATACTTCAATATATATATATATATATATTATTTTCAAATGCATCTTGTTCTTAGAATAAAGCATTCATAAACAGTCTAGATTTTGAACCAGCCTATGTAAAATTCTGCATGTGGGAATCCTGGAAGGAAGAGGTTTCAGTTGTGGTCCATTAGCAAATTCTCATCTCTGGACTGAAGATGTATATGCATAAGTAGGGAAATTGAAAAATGTTGTTAGGTAGTCAGAAAGCTTCCAAAGGGATCTCCAGACAAGGAGCTACAGTAATACCATTAGATGGGTATTATTATAAAAAGAAAAAGAATAATTTAAAAGTGAGGACAATAGGAACACCCACAATGCACCAAGTAATTTTTTTATTCTCTCAAATTTTCAATGGAAGTGCAAACATTGAAAGTTATTTTTCATACATGGAATGCTCCTGAATAGCTCTTGTTACTTTGTTCAACTAAAGAATTACCCATGAAGATATTTTATTTAAAAAAATGTAAAATGTGAATGCCGAGCTGACCGCTGTGGTGCTGAAAACCAAGATATAATTCTCAAAGTTGGTGAGCTCTCTTCTCCCTGAATTTGCAGTTCTGTAGTCCATGGGCAATGTCTTTGTCTAATATAAATTGTTGTCCTTCTGCTTTAATTAATATATTACCTATGTGGACAACAGTGAGGTTAATAAGAGAACCTGTCATTTGTTCCCATCTTGTCCTCACATCCAGGGGTGTCCAGAAAGCCCTAGATCACTTGGTGAGTTTTAAAAGCTCTGGAAAACTCAAAGACAGAAGCAGGTCTGGTTGAGCTCAAAATCTTTACTTCTTTATCTTTTCCTTGAGAAGCGATAAAGAGCTGCATAAAGGACCTAAGTATTTATCAATGGTACCAGCAGTTAATAGACCACAGACAGAGGGGTCTCAAAGACCTGAATGCAGAGTGATAAAAAAGCATTTTTTATGAAGTTTGGGCAAGGTAGGTAGAACAGTGAGAGCAATTATGTCAGATCCTCCCATGGTGAGGTGAGCTGTAACGTAGGCTTGTAATGTCATTACGAAACCGCAAGGAGCTGAAAGTTAAAGATCTTGTGATACATCTTTGTAAGGTTACATGTACTTCTCGTGAGAGCCTCAGAGTCGGTTCTTAAAAACTTCTGGTTTTTTTAATCTATTTAATTTCTGTAGTCAGCTTCCCCTCTTCCTACTAGAAGGGAAAAGAAGTAAAAGTGATATCATCAAATCTATCTGCTTTAGTTAAACTCACTTATATTGGAGTTGCTACAGACCGATCCTTTGAGTGTGCAAAATGGGTTTGAGACGTCTTTTGAAATTTTTGCTGTTAATTCTGTTTGCAATGTACATATGTTGGAGCAAGAGAGATTTTCTGTTGTTGTCTGGCATTCACTGTCACTGAAGGAAGATGTTCACCTTGTGGGCAACTAAAAAGCTATCCGAAAAAAATGTAAGACCTTTAAAAATTTCTGTTAAGATTAGGTCCCAAACAGAGGTTTTGTTAGTTTCTGCATTCAGTGAGAAGTGTGAAATAACCTCTCCCCATTGTCAGGAGAAATCATGACTGGAAAAAATGGAGGACCAAGTAGAGGACTTGTTTTCTCTTCCCAGCCTCCCTACTTCTCTTAACAAGCAGTTTTTAAGTGCAGAAGTATGGATAATAATAAAAAATGTAAATAATCCCTTGGCTCAGACACTGCTCTTTCAGTGGCAGCTGGAGATGTTACTCCTCTGTCCAGCTCTTGCTCCTCAATCTGTCTATCTCCTAGGGTAACTGTGAAGATGAAGGTAATCCCAAATGCTTTTTTTTCTTTTTTTTTTTTTTCCTAAAAACAAATGGGGAAAGTAAACAGATGAGCTTTTCAAAGATGAATGCTATTCTTTGAGTTCATGAAACACTTATTTTTTCTTCTATTTTCCAGAATATATTATGTCATTTGCACTACCATGGTTACAGGAGGAAGGAGAAGTTTCTGTAGTCTGTCAGTTGCTCATGGCTAAGGTGTGAATAATTCTTGACCTCTTTATCTCAGTTTACTCTTTATAGTTGGAATTGAAATGCATCTTGTATGAACTTCTTTGAGAATGTTTAATTAATGTTTGAGAGCTATGAGACCCCTTAATAAGGAGTGGTCTTTGTGAAAGTGAAGGTATATTTATTAATAACCAGGTGGCTGTTCTGCATGCCATCTTCTCATAAATAGTACCCTAAAGAAAAAAAAAGAAAAATACGAGTTGAAATATTTTTAGGAGCTTTTGGATAAGAATTGCTACCTCATTACTGAACAGAAGTAACTTTGAAAGATAGCTTATACAGCCATACTATGTGCTCTTTTATTGCATGAGGGATTTCTAACAGTCAACAGAATTCCTTCCTGACGACCTGGAGAGAGTGTGATCTAACTCTTTCAAGTTAATCATGAACCACAGAGCAAGCACTGAGTAAACTGATAGCATAAATTGAAAGGTCACAGCCTGCATTGAGAGAAAGGCTGCAGTACTTCCCACTTGAAAGAGACATGACAAATCATTTTGCTCTCTGTCATAGAGGTATAGATGACTGAGGGCAAGAGCATGCTCAATTAGAGCTGAGCAGAAAGGACAGGGTGCCTCAACACACAGCTCTCATGTCCCCTCCAGTTCTCTGCCTTTGGCAGGCAGTGAATGCAGTCTCAGCTTGTATCAAGGCTTGCATTCCCTCCCTCCCTCTGGCTGCGCTGCTTGAAGATGTTGGTGATGCAGCAGCTGTGGGATCCGTGGTGGTTTGACTTGCCTGTGCACCACTGTGCACTGGAAGAACCTTTGTGAGGAGTAGGTTGCAAATGTCTTTATTCTCCTGGAGAGTTCTCACTGGATATAGGGATTCCCAAGGCCTTGCATCCCGTGTAACATGGACGCATGCGTGTGTTTGCTTGGCATGTGCTGGGGCCACAGAAAATGGAGCTCAGATGTATTAAAATCCAAAGTACACTAGAATTTAGTCATGCTAGCAGAATTTGTAAGTTAGAGTATGCCTGTATCGGGATGAAAAATAATGGAATTCATGATTCAATGTGAGAAAACAGCAAAGGCTTAAAGCCAGGATGCATGTTTGTCTGTTCCCTCTTCATTATTTTGCCTGAACGATCTCTTTGTGCCAGGTATTGTTTGTCCTCCAATCACTAGAGCTACTCGTTTGAACAGGAATAAATACGTAGAAGCATATTCATGCTGCACACTTGAGGGCAGGTGAACACTAAATTTACCTCAAAGTGCTTTAAGTGTCAGATAAGATTAACCATCCACTAATCTGTCTAACAATTCACCAGAAGTTCTGCTTCCTAGCAGTGCTTTTGCATAACAGACAAGGCAACTCCTGTGCTGCCTGGTATTTGGTTAGCAGAGGGCACTCTTGGGTGATGGAACCACTTACACGCAGTGGGCTGTTCCACACAACCTTTTTCATGATGAAGAGCAAACTCTGCCCAAGGAATCCCGCAGAAATAGCAGGAAGAGGTTTACAGAAGTTAATGGCCAGGTACTAATGTAGCTCCTGTGTTAGATGGAGAAAATGGTGATGTGTGTCTTTTGAAGACCACAAATTTTACTTCACTTTTTGCAGAAGTAAGGGTAAGAACAAACTGAAAATTTTGTTCACAATTAAAAAAAAAAAAAAAAGGGAGAAAGAAGAGAGAAGTATTTTTTTTCTTGCGTATAACAAGACTACTTAAGTATAGCAAGTTTTCCCAGGTGCTTCAGGAGCAGAGCTGTAATTCCTGATCTGAAGTACTATCCAAAAGAAATAAGCATGGCACAAGGGTTAACATGACTAGAAGAATGCCTGGATTTTGGAGAAGAAAAGGGACTCCCTGGTTTGAATAAACCTTAACACCTTGACAGGGAAGTCAAATCAATTAGATTTGCATGAGACACAACAAAGCATGTGTTTACTCAGAATTCTCTTCAAGTCCCAGGAGAAATCTGAATTGGAACCCATATTAAAAAAGCCATCTGGGAGTATCTCACACCAGACGCCTTTGTGTGAGAAAATCTTTGCATTGGCCTAAGAAAGATCTCTCATCACAATTGACCTTGGTATCCAATTAATATCCTGGAAAAAAAGTTATCTCTGCCTGTTAAACTATAAGCAGGTGCTGGTAGTATTTTCTTAGCAGAGACTTCTTTTTAGATATGTTTGGATATATTACCTATAGATATATTTTAGTTATATTTTGGAGAAGCATAAAAGCTTGAATTTGGGGAGAAAATATTATCAGATATTGAAAAGAGCCATGGGCTACTTTAGAAATTGCAATAAGGCAAATCCCACTGCAAGATGCAGTGGCACAAAAATGCACAGACGTGGAAGTTTGTGCTGCTCCAGATCAGCGAGGGAAACAAGCCCTGGTCTGTTGTCATTTTGCCAGAGATTGCTGGGTTCAGTGCAGCGAGGGCAGGGAAGGGAGGCAGCCTGCAGCCTTTGTCTGCCGCTGCGTGGGGAAGGCCTGGGGTCCTGTCATCTGCCGTCCAAGGGCTGTGCTATCCAGCCACGTCCTCCAGCTCTGGCACAGACAGATTTCCCACCCTGCATCCAAATAAAACGAAGTCAGCTTTGACTCTGCAAAATGTCGATGAATTCTTCAGAGTAAATCAGCCCTGTCAGCCTGATGTGGAACTGTCACCTACTTGTGACATAATATAATATGAAATGATATTGAACAACATGCGTTTGGCACTAAATTGTTAGCGGGTTTTAGCTTTGACAGCAGCAAGTTTATTGCTTTAATCCCAAGGTCTTTTAACCCTCTTTGACATAAATTGAGGTTGGCTTTTGTGAGAAAACTCCACTTCACTCTCTCTTCCTTTACCTAAAACTGCTTTTAACAATTTATGCTCGTACATCAGACGCTCATTTTGAGTGACAAAAAGAAAAAAGATCTATTAGAACAGAAGGAAAAAAGGGTCAATTTAGGTTAAGCAGTGTACGTCTCTTTTGGTAGGCATGTCACAGCTTTCTTCAGGTGAATATGAATTTTAAGTTGTAATATAGTGTATTGCTGTAGGAAAATAAAACAAATCTTTAACAAGAAGGGTGAGTAAATGCTGCAGGTGAAAGGCTGTTAATCTGCAACAAGACTATTCATCCATTTCTTGATGGACTTTAATATATTCCTCAGTCCATTTGAAACTTTTCTTAAAAGATCAAAGGATTTTCTCCTTTTTCCAGACACTGCAGAGAGTCTGCTTTGGTGAGGGTTGTATGCAGAAATACAGATTTATAGAAATGATAGTATGTATGCACACAGTTTTGCTGAAGCGTAGCTGGCTGATAGCACAGAATTTAATATTTCACTTCTTTTTGAGACATCTTGTTTAGTTTTATAAGTACAGATTGTCATCTGTGCTCTGATAATCTAGTCACAGAAATGCATCATATATGAACTCTAACAGCAATAACATGTGACACTTATCACCCATGTTTTTTATCCTCTATTACTATACAGTGCTTCTAGTGCTGTTTGAAATCATTTTTTAATTACATTTAAAGCTCAGCTGAATCTGCCCTTGAACTGTTAATAATGGAGAAAGAGCACAATCTGCATCTTTGCAAAAGTTTTTTTTAAATGTTTTCTTTGTTCTTGCATAGGAAAGAGTGTATTATTGATCTGCTTTCATTTTAATGAGAAGAGTATGGAAATATGAGTAAGAAAACTTGTGTTTCTTTCCAAATGTGAGTATTTTTGAAGCTTTTATAAATTGCTCTTTTGTCTCTGCTAGCAATCGGACGCTTAATGATTTTTCTGTTTCTCTTATTTTGTGTAATCTTTGTTATTCATGTTATTGTGCTGTTATTATCTATCACTTGCTTATAGCAATTTTACTACCAGCCAGTGTTTAATATGTAAACCAATTATTCCATGAGCAACAAAACTGATGCAATCTGTTATTTGTGGATTTTATTCTTGTTCTCCTTATACCTTTCCCTGTGGTAGTAACATTTCCTCTGTGGTGTTCTGTGTAACTTCTACTCCAACACTTTCAACTTCCTCTTCAACCCTCTCTCCTCTCTTCCAACTTTTCTACCGTAATAACTTCAGCTGACTACCAAATTTCCACTGTACCTCTCTCAGTTCTCCCTCATTGTCTTCTGTCCCCTCTCTGCTCTACTCCTGCAGGAGCTTGGCTCAGTGTCTCTCATCATCTTCCATTTCTGAGGTCAGTGGATGAGGGCTGATGAAGACTGTGCTCTTTTTCCTTTGTCCTTCCTCTTAGATGTCCTTTGGTTTGCATGCAGGACATACATAGCCGCTAAAATGCAAATCCTTGTTTCTCTAAAACAAAAGGCAGTAATTTCTTAGGCTTTGGTACTACAGAGTGATTGCACCAGAGATTAGTGCAGTGCCTCTGGTAGAAGTTCTCCAAGAGATCCTGTACCACCACTCAGCAGAGAGCACAGGAGCTGGGCTATGCCAGCATTCCACTGACTCTTCAAGCATTTGGTACTGGCAGCCTTTGCAGTTTCCCTCCTTTGGTTACAGTTCTAAGTATAAATTTCATATCATCTCCAAATCCTGACAGAATGAAACTTGGGGAATTGGGAAAATGGGGTCAGTATATGAATTGTGCTCTTGTCCATGGCAATAAAAAGCACTATCACTGGGCATTCAGCAGCTGAACTACCCTCATGTTGTTTGTATTTTTATGGACACTGTTATAACTATAGTCAAGTATGATTTAACTTTAAAAGGGATGCTGTAACATTGTTCAAGTCCAGAACTGCCATAATCTTTTGTGGTAAATCTTTTGGATTTTATCTAGCTTTTATTTAATAAAAAACGAAACAAAACAAAACGAAACGAAACGAAATGAAAAGAAAAGAAAAGAAAAGAAAAGAAAAGAAAAGAAAAGAAAAGAAAAGTAATGTGATGAAACAGTAATAGAATATAGAGAAGCTGCATTTTCAATTACTTGCCTACCCATCTTTTTTATTTAGATTTGTATATGTGCAAACATTTTTGAGTGTGCTGGTCTGATATCTGGTAAGTTGCATCAAATGAGCATCTCATATAAAATGCACAGATCATGTTGTAATCTAATTCCTTCAAATGCTACACATATATATTTTGAAGTTTTTGTTGCTTACGCGTTTCAGTAGCATAATTACATTCTAACTATCATGAATGTGCAAGTTGCATTTGCTTTTAAAAACTGATTCACAATAATTAAGGCTACTTCTGTTTTTAACCACTAAATATATTCAAAATCAATATCTTATTTTTATTCTAGATGCTCTTATGGTCCCGAGCAGAAGATGAAAGCTGGTTGGGCTTTGTTACTAATGCGGTATGAGGCCTTAGCTGACTTGCTTAGTTTTTCTCAATCCTTTTGCTTATCTGTAATTTCTTGTCTCTTGTTTGGTTTATTTCATTTGTAAAAAAGCTTTAGATACTTGTGTGGAAATTGCTGTATAAGCTTTATTTGCTATTTGGTCTCAAAGTGGACATTTGCTGTCGCTGTCATAAGAGTAACACATTTAATGGTTTTATAAATAATCCACGTTGCTGGATAATTGGGGATAGCTGTGCAATTAAATAATTTGGCTCAGCACAGATACAATCTTGTAGATAAAATGTTTAATCAGGATCTCAAAAGTTTTATAATGCAGCACAGAGAGCGTAATCGCTACTATAAACATACCCTGACTCCCCATTTCTCAGTGTTTCTGTCTTGGAAAAAAAACTGCAAGCAAGAGTAAAAGATTCTTCATTCCTTCAAGGCATTCCCTAAGGGCTTGCCTGCCCTAAATAATTATACAGCTTTAAAACAGTTGTCAGCTACTGCTGGCAGGACTGCTACCTCTCACGACAGCATCAGGAATGTTGTGATAGCGGCTGCTCATCTCCAAGCCATGGCTTTGGAGGGGTGACTCTATGAGAGGTCTGAGATGTCTTGTTGCATGAATGGGAGTTTCAGGCTCCTTGTGGTTGATAACAACATCTTCAAAATGTAAATTGTAAAGAATCCAACTTCCAGGAGAGTACATCCTCCCTCTCCATGCAGACACAGTATTTATTACTTCTAGAAATCCGTAGCATTTTTAAGCCAAATCTCTCAATTTAAGTGTGGATAAGTACTGCTTGGTTGAGTCACTGTTGTTCACTGTTGACCATTTGGAAGCAGATTGTTGCTGCACCTGGTCATAGTGCTAGAGGAAAGTGTCACAAGAGCCGTTTTTCATCTGTCTTCTACTTGCTTTGCTAATATGGCAGCAAGAATGGCTGCTGCCCATTGCCGCCCACTGTTCTGTGCTGTTCTTGTCTGCAACCAGCACAAACAGACTGGTGCTGGAGGGGATCGAGGTGATCTGACTCTGCCCTACTCCTGAAGGGTCTCTTGTTCTATTATTCAGCGATGTCTGTATGATTACAAGTGTGACTTTATATAGAATCTGTTTTAAATCTGTAGCAGCCAATATGGGAAACCATAACTCCAATTACATATATATATTGGGTACAGGTAGGGCTGGCTAATGTGGACATATAACTGATAAGAACTGTCAAGACTTGATGCTGAATTATCCAAATTAAAGTATATTTGTGAATGGTTTAGTTAAACAGCTATAGTTCAGAAGAATTTAAAAAGGAAAAAAAAAAAAACAACACAAAACATTGCCCTTGTCTTTTGGTAACATCCAGGTCATATCTGATTCCTTCTTTTCCAGCTGCTTCAATATTACTGCATAACTCAGGAGGAGGAAAACAAAAAGACCTATGAAATAAAAATGGCAAATTGTTCTTGCTGTTTTCTTTCACTGGGCAGCCTTTCGGCAGTGCATCTTTTACTTTGAGGCCATGTAGAGAGAGTATATGCTTGAAATTTAAGTTCAGCCTCTCACTTGTATTTCCTATCTCTTCTTTACATAGCTGAGCTGGAATATTTTCCTGCTGCTACTGATAGCAGACTTATGGAAAGCTACTTCAATATTTGATTCAAGGGAATCGTCTTACCTCATTTTTGTCCTGGAATTTTATTCCATATAGTATTTATCCTGGAAACTAAGGCATGTTTTTTAGACAAGTTCAAGTAGGTAGATTACTGAACCTGGTTTATGTAAATAAATTAGTTTTCAGAGTGGGAGGTGGTTGTGGAGAGTAATTGTTGCTTTTATTCCTAGTTCAGGAATTTGTCTTTACAGAAAACTTCAGGATGAAAAATTAATTTACTCATTTAATTCCAAGATAAAGGTGAAAATTTTCTTTTGTGTCATCTCTCTCCCTTTCTTTGATGGCATTGTCATCAATAATCCCACCTCTAACTGGACCACAGGACCTCTGGTAGGCTAGAGACATTTAAGTTGAAGAGGCTTCAGGATGTAGCCTTTAATGGGAAGAAGGATATATTGCATCTTCCCATACTCCGCTGAACCAGAGCTTCTGGCACTGCTGGGATTGATTATGTTTGCACAGCGTTACTGTGGTGCAGTGTGGATATATGACACTGTGTGTAGGACCAGAATGGCCATGCTCCTAAAGAGCCTGTTAAATAACTACATAATTAATCATTCCTTGGATTAGAAATGAGACAGAACAAAGAGAGATTTTTCTCCTTAGCTTTTTTCTTTGGCTCATGGCTTATCTGGTCAGAACCTGGGTGGCAGCCAAATAGGTGGAATCTGGTCCTAGGCTAAGTGTCTCTGTTCTGAAGATGGTAGCAAATGACTTCTTATACAACCTTGCTTTCACTGAGGAGAAGTGCCAGGGAGTAGCTAGCTTATCAGAGAAGTTGTTCTGCATACAATGTAAATTTACTGTAAGGTTTTTCAAAATTCTTAAAGCTTTGTTATTTATTATTTTTAATTTTTATATACTTTCTATATAATTGAATTATTTTATATATTGATTTATATATATACCTAAAGCATGTTTACGAATGCTCTATTTTTTTATGTCAAAGAACACAGTCATTAGCACTGTAATACGACGTAATACGATTAGTACTGTAATACAAAAAAGTGATACCAGAGCTGATAAACAACAAAGAAAGTAGGATGAAAAAGTGTGACAAGAAAGGAGGAGATAGAAGTATTAAAAAGTATTGTAGATAGAGAACTGTTGACTGCTACTCTTGTAAATATTTCAAAATATAGATCCAATGTTTTATGGGTCACTAAAACTACTGTAAATACACCAGCTGAATCCCAAATACATCATTCTCAATTCCCGGCAAAGACAGTACAGTGCAGCTATAATACACCCTTCATCATCCCTTGCAGACTTGGATTTAGCCTCAGAGCAAGATGACTGCAGATAGAGTATTTAGCCATGGGGAAATAAAAAGTAAAAAAGGATAAGAAACCCAAGCCTGTACCCAAGCTTTCTAGTGTCTAGTATAGTAAAGCATTTGATCACTGGGATCTTGAACTTTTTCTTGTACATTGTAAAAAACTGATGGACCTTCTCCAAATAGTTTGGAAGCTAATTTTCTGCCCTAGGCTTTGCGCAAATTCAGAAGAAATTATTCTGAGTGTTCATAGTGTATGGACTTACTGGGTCTGTTTCATCGAGTCCAGATGGTACTTTGAGGTATTACAGATCTTTCCATATTCATTCTTGGAAGGAAAGCTGCAAAGACCAACGGATCCCACCTCTTAGTGGGTTCATTGCATGAGGGTTGCTGTAGTGCAGTGACGAAATACAAGTCGTATATCTGTTCTGTGGGAAGGAAGGACAATGTTCCTGACGTATTACAGTCAGGACTATGCTTAATCTTTAGCTTTTCTATGCCTACATATATATTTTTCTTCTTTATATCAGTCTTTGTCTTTTGTTATCTAGTTACAATTTTGTCTTTGAGTTCTGAGCTTTTGACTTGATTCTGGTTGGATTCTAGAGGGGTACTCTTAAGCTACATGCTATTCTGTGTTTGCCAGCCTGAGCAATACATAATTCTGGGAATGTGACGAGTGAACTTTAAGTATAGCCTCTAATAGCACTTAAAATAATGAAGTTCAAGACACACACAAACAAAAGTTTACCAAGAGCAAAATGAGCCAAAAAATATTCTGGTGTTAGAAATTAATTTTCCGAGACTGCAGTTAGGGTACAGATTCTTATACTGCATGGGTCCTTCAGATTGAGTCTAAAAAGATTTCTCCTGTATTCAAGATAACTCTCCCATATCTTTTCTCAGCTCCTACAGTGAACAAAGATGTTGGTTCACAAAAGGCTATTTGATCAAGCAGAACAAATAATGCCTGAAAATGTGCAACTGCTCATTTCCTAAACCTCTCCTGACTTCCCCATCTCCACTCCCCAGAGCCTAGTCTTTAGCCAGTGTTAGCAATAACAACTTTTGTTAAGGTTTTGTTGAAGGTTAAACACTCATTACTATGCCCCACTTAGACTAGCTCTGCCCATCTCCAAAATGATTGACTCTGACTCATAGGTATTTATACATTTTTGTCTTAAATCTCAGCAAGAAAAAAGTTTACTTACCTCTGCTGGTTTTCCACGTTTCCTGACTAAGCATGGGCTTTTCTATGGTTTCAGCCTTCAAGTTCAACAAACTGGCTGTGCCATCAGTCAGTTCCTGTAGGGGAATAGAGGGGGAGGAGGCAAGCAGGGGCTGGGGAGAGTAAGCAGAGAGGCTGTTGTCTTCTGTTTTCCTGCAGGGTTTGTCTAACAGCTAACAGGATTAATGAAACACCTGGCATAGATGCAATTAAGTATTTTGCTGCTGAGGCTGAAAACTACATAATGAAAAAGTTAAATACAGAAGGAAAAAGCCTCAACTTCTGTGACACGGTTTTGTCATCAGAGAATCCTATTGCCCAATTATGCTCATGATATTTTATATCAAGTAATGTTCAAGACTTTTTTATCTATATCAGAGTATTCAGACATGGCCTTTACAGAACTGTTACTACTTTTGCAGTACAAGAATACATTTTTTTTTTATAATTACGAAGGATTTGCACTGAGGCAGATGGACACTTTCAGTGTATGGAGAGATCCAGAGACATAATGCGAGGGGCTGGTGATTAACATCACTTATGCTGTGCTGTTATATGACTTGATGCCCATCTTCCCCTAGTTATAAAAACACAGAGAGGATTTCTGACTATTGCTTTGAAGATCACTACCAAGATAACAAAGTACAGAAAGGAATATTTGAGTGCATTTGATTTTTTTTTTCCCAAAATTTTATTTATTTCTTAAGGGTAAGCATAGATTCAAACAATTAATCTGTGCTAAAAGCTTAGAAAAAAACTACTGTTGTGCAATTGTTAGCAATTATAGAGACAGCAAAGCAGCAAAAGCTATGAATGATAGATTAATCTGGGGATAGAAATGGGAAATACTATTCTAAAAGCAACATTTCATCAGAGGTTAAGAAACATTCTTTCTGTTTTGTGGGCATGTTTCTGCAGGTGGACATAATTATGTATTTTTTTTTAGCAAATTACTATTAAAATGACTGAAGAACAGCAGCATATTGAAACTGGTGCAGTCTAGAGGAAAAAGGTGTTTGTAGCTGTTTTTTCTGTTTACAAAGTTTCTATAGGGTCAGGTCAAGGTAAATGGAACAAAACCTCAGTTGAAAGGGTTTTTCTTTGATAAACTGCATTGAACCAGAATAGAGGGGCACATCAGCCCTAAATGCAGCTGATGAGTAAAGGTTGCAAGAGCAAAAGATATACCCCAGTGCTTCTGGGCTTAGTCCTTGGAGATTTATTCTTTGTGGGGTGAAGGAGTTACTTCAGAGGCTTCCTGAGGTGCTTCATAGCCCCCTGTGTGTCCCACCTGTCAGTGGGACAGATATGCAGATCTACCTCAGCACTAGAAGGGAGGAAAGCCTCCCAGACTTTAATTGTCATGTCCCATGGCACAGACACAACTGTCTTTGCTCCCAAGGGCCCAACAAGTCTGGCCCAGGGGCACAGGGTTTGTCATTTGATAATCACTAAAACTGAGATGAACAGAATTCACATGGTAATTCTGTAAAAATGCCATGTGTAATTCTGTTCTGTAGTACTTTTTGTTTGGCTCAACACAAAATATTTTGTCTTTTCAAAAATGCAAAGTGAAGAATTGTTATTAGATCTAAGTATTACTTAAACATTTAATAATAATTCTATGACAACTATCATTCTGTGAGAATTCTCTGTGTTAACTTGCAGCTAATATTGCAGTTTTTCTGGCAAAATGTACAACAAAGGCTATTCTTGTGTTTAAAAATGCAATATATTTGGACAACGTGCTGTCCAGGCACTGTGTGCTGTTATTGTATGTCATCATGTCTACTGGGAAACCTGACATTAAAACATATCCTTGGTTCTCACTTAAGCCAATTTTATAGGGCAGAAAAAGAAAAGACAACATTTTGCAATGAAAGCACCTTCTCCCATCTGGCAAAATGGCTTTCTGGACTCTATTGTGGCTCATTGTCTAAAAATAGGATGAAGACAAATTGTTATCATTTGCGAAAGCCCATGACAATAATGATAAATGAACAAATTTTTTTGCCCTCTGAAGTCATTGCTTAAGGCTTTCTCTGGGATCAACAATGTTAAACTGGTAAACTTGCCTCATCTGCATCAGCAGAAGGTTTACAAATGGCTTTGTAAACAATTTTAGCCAGAGCGTTAATCTCTTCTACAGAAGTAGGGCTTGCATGATCTATGATTGATTTGCAATTTAAAATGACACTGAAACCCCTGAAACAGATATGAAAGAAACTTTCAGTGAATAATGCTTTAGTTGACAAGAAAAGATAAGGCACATCTTTCATCTGATAGTGGGCTGTTTTTGATAAATATTGTTCATAATGGAGAATTTTGGAATCACTAATGTGTGGATAGAACATTACTACTTTTTGACTGGAACCTCAGAAACAGTTTTCTTCAGCAGCAATCTAGTTAGGGGAGAAAACTTAGTATGATAATGGGTCTTGCTTAAAAATTATCCAATAGATTTCCCTATTATTTAGGTCACAAGTTCAAATTTAAAAAAGTGAAGACCCAAAAGCTAGCAATTGATCGGTATTTTTGAGTCTGTGTAAATAGGTACATGAAGACATATTTCTTTTTCTTCTTTTACATTATGCAAAAAATGTCAACATGTATTGTATATTTAAAATTAATAATTAAACAAAAATTGAGTTCTCACTCAGAAACTTAAGATAGCTGTCAATTCCTCCAGGAGACCTCTTAGCTTCGAAAAGTAAATATCCCCAGGATATTGTACATGTATATGCTCCAGGAGAGATAGCAATTAGCTTGTATTATAAGGTGATGTTCTCTATAGTTGTGAGCTCTGGTTCCTAAATCACCATATACTGGGCTGATTGTATCCATCTCAGGCTGTCCAATGAATTTCATGGCTGCTCTTTGGCTCGCAGTGGAATTGGACAGGTTGTCTCTGTAAAATATTTCTGTGGTTCAAATTCTGCACATGCAGTGTTAAATGATAAAAATCCAATGAGTGCTTGTGGAACAGCTGCTTATTCTTTAGGAACTGAGATGAGATTATGAAATTGTTTCACCAGAGTAACCGAACACTGTATAACTACCTTCAGCACTGTGAAGAACATGTATGGGTTGAATTATTATTTGATGCCGCCTTGTGTGCACTTCTGTTGTTGTTTTTAAAGAAAGTTATTTAGTGGCCTCATTTCATTAAAAAAAAAAAAAAAAAAAAAAAAGCAAACAAACAAACAAAAAAAAAGAGCAGTGTTCAGTATGGAAAAATACAAACAACCCCCACCTGAACTATCACAATTCCCACTTACTAATGGTAATTCAAGTATCAGAGAAAAAGAAAGCAAAAGCTCACTGGGATTTTTTGATCAGGAGGTAGTGCCAATAAGCAAGAGTTAAGGCAGGTTGCAGGAATGCTGCTGGGGAGCTGCTCTTGCTTATGCTAAAAACGCCCTTTGCATACAAAGATCTCCAGAACATCAGGGCTGCTTTGCCTTGGTCAGCTTGTTTTCTCCTTAACGCCAGTGCGCCACTGTGAGTGGATAAGCAGCTGCTGCTTTGAGGTGAAAGGTGCAAGACAGAATGCAACAAAACTCCTTTCAGAGGAAATTTCTTTTCAGCCTCTTGTGGACCAGACCCGCACAAGGAGGATGTAAGGCTTCTGTGGCTTGATTGATTTAAGGTAGAAGAGGTCAGTCAGATGCAGGAGGCACAGCACTGGATTTTTTCAGATAAACAGAGCCTGTAATTGCAAGCCAGTTTCCCAAGTTTAAGATTTCTTGCAGATTTAAAATTGACAAGAAAACAGCTATCAGTATGTTCTCCCACTATTTAACAAAAGCTACAGCATTTGAGTATGTTCTCGTAACTGTGTAAACACCAGTAAAGATGATTGGGAAGGACAGAGTACAAAGGTGGCTTTCTAAGTATCCTTTACATTACTGGGGGGGGGGAAAAAAAAAAAAAAAAAAACACCCTCAAAAACTCTCAGAACTTTTGTACAGACAAGTCTCTGCTTTAATAGGCATAACGTATAAATTGCTTTGATAACCATATTCCTCCACCACCTTTATATTTTGAAGTATTCAATCTAGCTTTAATTTTATTAATGTATTTCTTTTATCTTTCATCTGAATAGTGTTCTGTATGTAAAGTGACCAAATGTGATTAATGATGAATAGATTAAGATGGGACAGGGTGTTTGAAAAATGACTTAAGTAGTGCATGTAAGTCACTGGCTATAGTCCCAAAATGCAAATTCTGGTTAAGTTAATGACTGGAAAATCATGATGGCATTACTGTATGAGTTCTGCATTATTTAAAATTGCTTTATAAACAATAAATAATTAGCATTTTACATTGAGACTCATTAATATTATCACACAATTATTTCTATTGGCATTATTATTTTAGAGTTGGAAGTACAAATATAATGGCTTTGTAGAATTCTAATGATCGTTTTTTGCTGTCCAGAGTTTGAAGGTTGAGCCTTGCATATGGCATACTGAAGTTTGTGTCCTGTTAAAGGTTGGTGCTTTATTGAAATATCTGGAAGAATACTGTTTGCAAAGGGCATTCCCTGTCTTTATATGAAGATTCTGAGAACATCCTTCAGGATGAGATTGCAGGAAGGGGAAATTTGTTAATACGTTCACTCCTGCCTAACAAATGAGTATTATCAGCAACATGGGTGCACACTTCCACTTATCCTTTTTGTAGTTGGAGAGCTTTATGAAAAATAAATTAATAACGCATACTAAATTATGTCTGCAAGAGACTTTTATATATGTATTGCTGACTTCTAGACTGATTAGATTTACATGTTTTTAAAAATGTTTCATTGTGGGTTTTTTTTTTCCTTACACATCCATAATGCCTTTATAGAACACACTGCATGGTAGAAAAATGTAATCTTGATTTCAACTGAATACCTGGAAGGAGTGTTTCCCCCCCATTAATATGTAGACGTGTTCAACTAGTATTTGTGTTATTTTTCCTGAAAAGAGCCAGCTCTCTTGAATTACCCAGCACAAGCGTATGCCTTAGGACGTGAAATTCAGCAAAGTAGGTGTCCTATTATCATAATTTGAAAGAGGTCCACTTAATAATAGCCTGTATTAAACAAGAATCTGCCAACTATTCAGCAAAGTCTGTTTTTCAGCAGAGTAAACCATATGTTTTAAATGCAGCTAAAAATGGTTGTGGCATGCTGTTTCCTTCCACCTCAGCCTGCAGTGTATTACTTAGATTTGCAAGGCATAGCCACCACTAGTACTTAACACTGCTGAAAGTGCCACCCTTCAAGGTTTTTTTAACCGCAAAGAAAAGAGAAATATAGTAGCATCGATTGTTAAATCCTGGTGCTTGTTACTCACTGCCCGCACGCGGAACATCATGCCTTTGTAGCAGTGAGGAGAGTTGGTATTTATCAGGGTTCAGAGCTAGTTCAGCCACACACTTGACAAATTATTTGTGGAATTGTTGTATTCACAGTCACTTAAATAAGAATCTGTCAACACAAGGCTGTGCTTTGTTGCAGCAGGTCTCACAGTTTTTCCTGCGCACTCAAAGAATGATGGATTGGAGGTAATGCAAATTCACTACCATTTTATATGCTGGTGCCTTCTTCATAGACAGGAAACATAGCTCAGTATCATCTTGTAAAATGCCTTAACTGTAAAGGCCTAGTTCAGTGCTGAAAGTGCTTTTTAAAAATGGTGTGTTGGAAGAGGGAAATGTAATTCAAATATTTTCCTCACGTCTCATTTTAAAGACTGTTTCTTGGAGCAGGTGTGCACTCAGATTTTCCCAGGCTGAAGAGGACATATGCTTATCTCTGCTTGGTAATTAACACAAATTGATAAATACAATTATTAGATTTTACTGCAACTTAAAAGTTAATACTGCTTAACAAGATATTAAATTTGAAGAGCTCACAGAGCAGAAAAAACGTGACTGTTAAGTAAGTTAGTCGGTGTTGTTTATAGGAATTTTTTTTGAAAATGCATTTGTCCAGCCAGCAACAAAGTCTTAATGCTCTATAACCAATACCAACAATTATAGTCAAAGGTAGATGACCCTTTGCCAGAATGAAGCTTGCAATTATAAATATGAAGTGCATCTCTGCTAGTTTTGCCCTTTTAAGGAACTGAATAAAAATGGAATACTTTGCCCAGAAACAAAGCCTTGAACTTCTGGGCTTCTTTCCCCACCCCACTGCCAATCTCTGCCAGGCTGGGGACAGCATGGGCAGCCCTGGGGATTGGGAGCAGCCAGACCTTGGGGTGTCAGAATGAATGAGGAGAAATAATAACATGTGCTGGAAATGGCTCGTCTGGAAATTTCTCAGTGCAGTTGAATAAATGGAGTTGCAGCCTATTTAAGCTATATCTCTGTGTCATTTTCACATTTTTTTTCTTTTTCTTCAGGAAAATTGATCTTTCTGCACTACGAAGAAGCCTGTCTGTGCAGGAGAGGGCTTTCTCAGAGGCTGGTTTCAATGGTAAGGAAGGAGATTGCCACGCATAAAGGACTACCACTAATCTGACTTTGTGCTTCCTCAAGTTCAGGGGGCATTTATTTGGTCTTGCATGATAATGAGAGAATTTCATGAAGAGTATACAGAATTTTTTTGAGAGAACAAACATATGGCAAATATTTTCCTTAGATTACTGCCCCAATAGGAGTTCCCTATCAGTGCAGTATTAAAACCTTTGTGAATTATAATAGGCAGTGGTGAAGTCAATGAGTGTGGATTTTAACCCCAGATACTCTGGACCTTAAGCTTTCAACTTGATCTGTGCAGGCACTAGAAAGTGCCCCTAAAAGCATAGCCCTATGGTGTAAGGGTGTAGCTGGCGTGCATGCTGCTTCTAACGTTGTTGTTGAGCACCGATGCTCTATCTGCACTAAGAGCACTACTGCTTGGTAGTCCACTTTTTTGTTGGCCAAATGAAAAGAAATAGTTTGAAAAAAAGCACTGTCTTCTATGAATGTATGCTGCCTGGCCTCTCTTTGTTCCCTTTATGACCAGCATGCAGCGGCCTGCTCTGATATTTTAAGGTGTATTTTTATGGAGAGCCATTAAACAACAGTAATTTGCATGCCAGGTTTGTGCTGTAGGTGGATGGGCACTTTGTGGGCAGCAGCCGCTCACTCAGTACCATGACCAGCCTGGCAGCCATGCATTGCTACAAACAGCTGTCTGCAGACATTTCATTGCCCTTATTTTATCAAAGAATGGCTGTAATACAGCACTGCCTATAAACTAACCTGTTCTTGATAGAGTCCTCATGTCCTCCTGTACCCATCTACCTTCAGTCGTGACTTGGCAGTGCAGCAGCTTGTGCTGGCACTGTAACAGAAGCTGAAGGGACTAATGCTTTCACAGAAGTGGTTATTTGGGGTGATGTGACTACAGATACCACTGTCCTCTTGGAGAGCTCGATCATGGTGCCTTCGCTATGTTGGCTTTCTCCAGTCTTGTAGGGATGCATCTGTCTGGACAAGCTCCTGCAAGGCCTGCACTCTTACAGGGTACTCAGACTTTTATAATATTTTCCCTTGCAATGTTTCAAAGTGTTTGGAAGCTCAGCATGATTTCAAAGACTGCAGATTGACTTACAGTATGGGATATAGTATTTTCACTTGCATCTAAAAAGGCTGTTTTGAAGCCAAAAATTAAATCGCCAAGAAAACACACATGGTTCACAACACAGCTCTTTGATAACATTAAAAGTATATGTAATATTTTGAAATCACTGGCCAATTATTTCTAATAGTTTTATGATAATTTATGTAGAGAATCTATCTGTTGGATGTGTTCCTGCTTTGGTCTAACTGTATTTTTGAACACTCTGTCAAACATCCCCATTTGGCACCTATTTTGTTTCACTGAATTTCCTTAGTTTGTCCAGATCTCTTGCCAGTGTGTTTGTGGAACATATTTTGACAGCTTTGCCACCAAATTTGTTACTTCTTGCATTTGGAATGGGTATCAAATCACAGATATTAATGTGTGTTTCCTTTTGGTATAGACTCAAGTGGACAATATGTTTATCTTCTTGGATGGTGAATATAATAAGCTGAAGTGAATATAATAAGGTGAGTAAAGTTTTGTTCTTTTTTATTTCAAATGTCATTAAAGGCTGTTATGGATGTTTTGGTTTTTATATTTACAGCTGATAACACTGTTAAGCAGAATATCCTTGTATTTTAGTTGTGATCCTACATGCCTTACTTACCCAAACTTTATGATAACAAGAGCAGCTCATACGTGAGGTTTGTAGGTCCTCCCTCACTACACGCTTGTTCCCTCACACACAGATACATATAATTTTATTTCAATATGCTTGAGTTAACTAGCTATTGAATTTCAATTTGTTGTGCTCATTTATAAAATAGTCTTCCTATTGAGTTTGTTAGAGCTGAATGAAAATAGTGTGTTTAAGGGTGCTCGTGGTCTTTTCCATCATGTTTTCCTTAATGTGGAATTCTGAGATTAAAAGAAATTACAAAATAGTGCTTGTGGAAATATAGAAGTCAGTTTTGTGGCTATGTGGCAGTGGTCACAATGGCAGCTATGGGGCTGGCCTGCCCTATTAACATCCTCAGAACTCATGCTGTTCTGTAATGTGTTCAGCCCACAAGCCCCTGCTATTCCCTCGGACTCAGTGCATCGCACAGCCCTGCACTGCCTGGTTTTCCATGCCATGCACAGCACAGGGTGAGCGCTCTGCCCTCACAGCCCTGATTTCTCTGGGGAGCTGATTGCCGATGACCTGGCTTTGGGGCCCAGAGCTGATTGTCTGCTGCCCAACTGTTGGCAGCTGGCCTTTCAGCCGTTAACCTCTCTGGGTATGGTTAGACCTAGGGTAGACATCCTGAATCTGAAGGAGTGAGTAGAACTTGCATGCCATTTTTAAAATATTGTGCAGTAAATAGGCTGGGAAGTTTTAACAAATGACCTACCTCTGACAGCAGAAGCTAAATGCAATGCAGAGAATATGTATTTTAGATTTCAATTTAAATAAGGCTTCGAGGTGGATATAGTTCCTGGTTACTTTTGCTCTGTTGCAGATAGCATAGTAGTTGGAAATAGTTTTGGTGACCATAATGGTAAGCTATTCTTTGGAGTGCTGTGCAGTACTTGGTGACAGCTCTTTATCTGAAACACCACATCCTACCAGGAATACCAGCAAAACTGTTCTTACTTCTGAGGACTCCTTTTGTGGCCACTTTGAAGAATCCTTTAAGAGATGATGTTCAGTTGGCACAGAGCTTTTTGATTCTTACTGCTGGCGGATGAGTTGTTTACCGTGCTGTACAATATGTATCAAGTAGGAAATGAATCCTGAAACAGCTGGTTTTGTTGATTAAGTTCTCATCTTATTTTCTGTAATGTAAGGATTATTTTTAAAATGTCAGCAGCATTCATGAACTGATAGGCATTGCCTTGTGAAATAAATAAATAAGTAAATCAGGCATGTTGCATAAAAATTGAATTCTGAATCTAAAATATCTGAACAATAAATAAAATTGCTTTCTGAATGGGATTCCTATGTTGCAACTTTATATATCTCAATTTTAGTTCCCTGTGCAGGCCTGTGTATTTACTGTTTTACCTTTTAGATGTCAACTACCCCAAACAATTCTATAAATTGAACTTAGATTTGAAGCAGAAAGTAATTTTTTGAAGATTTTAATACATGTTTTAGGGGAGAGCGTGATATGTATGCAGTACATATGAAAAGCATATAGTCTGATTTTTAATTCTGATTCTATAGTCCGACAGAGTAATACCCAATTCTTTGAGCAAATTCTTTCAACTTATCTGGATAACTTGAGGCACAGGCTGCAGTCAGGGTACAAACACTATCAAGGTATCATAATGTCTTCCTTAAAAGACATTTTATTAAGATGACAAAAGTAGGATGGCTATTTTGTACAAAATGTAGCATATATACTGTGTTTTCATATAACTTTCTGTTTCTCAAGTCTGAAGCCCAACTTAAGTGATGGCAGCAATTTTGCGCCAGCTGGCAGCATTCTTCAGAGAAATAGGAGCAACAGGCCAGAGAAATGGTCAGGTCACAACATACCTTTCTTCCCCTTAGAGAAGAGAGTAACAAAATAGCAGCTCTGCCTCTGCTTGTTTCGTAATACCGCGGAATTTCCTACAAAATAGTGGAGGTCGGGGCAAGATGAGGAATGAGTTCCAAATACAAAGATAGACCGACCTGCCATTGATTCGGTTTTCCTTCTGGTTGGAAATTTTGCATTAAACAGAATATATATTGTCAAATTCTTGTTCCACCAACTTTTTTTGTTACATCAAATTTCTGAATTTCTGCAATTTCCTTGTTTTTTTCTTTCTTTTTCTTTTTTTCCTCTCTCTCTCTTTTTTACCCTCTTCCAAAGTATATTCCTTTTGTGTGTGTGTGTGTGTGTAAAAAGGATAACAGCGTATAACTCAAACTAGGTAATCCTGACAAAGAAGCAAATCAGTTAGTGGACATCATCTGTTGTTCTGTCTAGTTTCATCTGAGTGTTAGTAGAAGACCATCTCTTCCACGCAACTTCTAACAGATTGCTAAATACACAGCTAATTTACTTATTGGAGGTGATACTTATCAAAAAGCTGAGAGGAATTTGCACACTGTTCATGTGAAAAAGGAAGTGACCTGTTGGAGATGGACCTTGGGTTCCTGAGGAGAAAAGATAAAGCTAAGGAAGGTTCCATGAAATTATTGTGTATATATAAGAAGTAATAATGTCATCTGCTTTTTTTTTTTTTTCTGTTTCCTGTTGATTGACTTTTATAGCTTGCAAACATTATGCTGGATTGTAAATTGCAATAAATTTAATCAAGAATTATTTTATTCAGCCTACTAATGAGGAATAATAGCGTACGTATCAATTAGACATGTCAATTTGTGTGAAGAAATAGATTTACAAAGGGATAGTAGGTAAAAAAATATCATTGGTATCAATTCACTTCATTATTTTTAATTTGCTGTGAATATTGAGTGCTTCCAACATAAAATCATTCCTCAATTAAAATAAAACAGCTGTACTCCTACCAGCTTTTCCTTGCTTGCTGTTGCTTACAGATAGCAGTAGTCATTGGCTTCAGTCTTGTGTCACTTCACTAATTTGCAACCATCAATGGGTAAAAGATAATAATAATAAAAATTTTTGGTTTTTCAATACATTAGGTAATGTACATTTGTGATTTTTACAGATTGCACTGAAGGAGCAGAAATAATGTAGCAGCAACCTTTGGGGATATCAGAACTGTGACAAAACCCTGGCCTCTTCTGTTTCCAGCATCAGCAATGCAATAGTAGTTGTGAGCACTTTATTCATTTTGGCACTTTCTTATTACTCTGGATTCCCTTTCTTTTCCCCTAGGCAATTTCTAGTAAACTAGATCCCACAAATGTGCTATAGCCTGAATGAGAAGGATGAATTCTGAATTGGTTTGCTCACCATAGAGTCTAAGGAATCCCACTGCTTCCTTTATTAGCACGTTTGTGCCCTTATTTAGTTTTTCATGATATTATGGGGCATGTATCTGTTTTTGAGTGATGTACGTAGCTCTGTGGTTGTCCTCATTCATCTTCAAATTGGTCCAAATACTGACAGTAAGAGCACATTTGTAGGGACAAGTGTGGAAGGTGCTAAAGCTGTTTCTGCAAATCCAGATGTTAAAATATGGTGCATAATTCATTCTATTAATTCTATTTCTCTAGCAATAAGTTTTTTATAGCCTTATAACATTTTATATTGGTCTGTGTTAACTTCATATTATATGGCTATTATTTTCATTAAAAAAAAAAAAAACAACAAACACAAAACAAACAAACAAAAAAAAATCCAAACTCAAACAACAGAACAATTTGTTCAAAGGTGTGGTGTTTAGGATGTTAGAAGCATGCCAGAAAAATCAATAATTACATCTATTGCACATGAATAGAAAAGAAGTTGTCTCTCTCAGACAAATGCGGTTTCAAGAAAATAAACTTCAATAAATACTTCTGAGTATTTATGTTGCAACCGGTGTTGCAGGTTTTAGTACTTCTACATCCAATTGGCTGAATGCATTTTGCCATGATGTATTTTTGTTTTTTCTGTTACCAGTGACAGCTTTTTGATAGAAATCCCTAGAAAAGAAATTTTGTATCTGTAGGGAGGCTGAATACATGCAATCTGAACCTTAGCTAAGAGTGGATTGTTTGTAATGAGAAGTAAAAGCTTATGGATGCTGTCGACAGTTTTGAAAGTAGAGGGTAAATCTTGCTTATATCAAAGAATTTTAACTAATGATGATTTCAGTACTCATCTGCAAGTTTGTTTCTCCGTACATGGAATCAGCATGCTAAATATGCATGAGGTTTTAGAATTCAAATGAAAATTTCAAATAGCTGAAGTTCTCTGAATTTCACTAGTATTTATAAGAATGTAGTTATAACAATGAAAATATATTTAATATATGAATATATTAATGAATAATAATAATATATTAATGCAATATGTTAAATGATGATAATAATAATTATGTGAACAATGTTTCTTTTTATAAATTCCCCAAATTTAAGGAAAAATCCTTGCATAAACTGAATATGCCTTTAATTTTTTCAGTGTTGTTACTTAACATTGATAATTTGTTATAAAAAAAGGCTATGTGAGCTTAATGCCAGACTGATAGGTATGCAGATATTTCAAAACTGAATAAGAACTGTTGCTGAAAACCACAGACATGCCGAACATCCTAACATCCAGATATGCAATCTATAATGCATAATACCATCTACACTGAGACTTGAGCTGACTAATTTATCCCAGGTCCTATATCTGTGCAGTCTTTCACACTACGTTTGGTGCCAAACTTGGGTGATTTTTGGAGAAAGAATTCTTTCTACATGGCTGATAGTAGAAAGCTTTCAAATACTTGGGAGAGGATGACAAACAGGAAATGCACATCACAAGACCGATTGCTGAGTTTACTAAATTGTAATTAGTTCTGATTTGGGACACTCTTACTTAGAAATAAACAATGTTTTTTTATCAGTTAGTATCAACTATGCCCATCTGTTTGTATTTCCTGTTCATATCTTACAGTATTTTTCGATGTTGCAAGTTGAAGCTTGTCCATGGCATCCTGTTAGTGTTGTAATGTTGTAACAAACCCATCACCCTTTTTTCTGTGCAGTCCACAATATTTCTCAAATCAGATCTTTCCAAACCAAGATTGCAGTTAACTTTACCAACTGTCAGCCCTAGAAAGAATCTACCCAGCCTGGGCTGTGTTTGTTTACGTGAGACTGTGACTTCACATTTATGATTTCAGCAAGACCTGAAGTGACTTGCTCCACACAGCTGTTCAGTGTTGCCCTACACACCATAATCCTTTAGTATAATAAAATACATGTTTTTGCTTCTTTACTAGAAGTTACAGAGAAGCCTTCTGATCACCCAGCTATGAAAAGCACCATGACTGGTTCTGCCCAGAAGCTGCATGAATACATGTGGAGCAGAAAAGTTGCTCTTTATAGCCAGCTGTAAAATTCTTTCAAGCCCTGTGAACGTTCAGCATGAGAAGGCTTTTCTCGCTGGCATTTTCTAAGATATAGATTAACTTCAGCAGTATGCATGAGTCAAGATTACCCTCCAAGCTTATGCTATATCGATGAAACTCAAAGTCAGCCGGTCCGTTTCAAGAACAAAAGCAGTGTTTGGTTCCAGTCAGCTGCCAGAAAACATGCTCCAGGTTTGACAAACGTTGCAGTTAGTTGCTTTTGTGAGTTCAGTGTGCAGTGCAAATACTGTAAAATGTTTTTCACATGATGCAATATTGCCAGCAGATAATCATTGGAGCATTAAACCAAAAGAATTTCTGTATATCCTACAATCTGCAGGAGGATAAGAAAAAGTAAACAGAAACTACGAGCTGAATTTTTCAGATGATGCCATTCCTTCTCTTGCGTTTAACTGGTTTGTTTTTAAATGTAACTTTTTGTCTGTTTCTCTAAGATCTGACTAGAAAATCCTAAACCATTGTGGAAATGCTTTTTTGTTTCTGTCCTAGTTTTGACTGTGTGAATTTTTCAGAACATTTTCAATTTAATTATGCAGCACTAAAAATTGCAATTAAACTGAATTTGCAATGGAAACTGCTCATTTTAGTTAACTGTCAAATTTGCTGTTGCATTGTGAAATCAAGGCCTTTATTATTGTGAGGTGTTTTGGAAAAAATTACTTTTTAAACAGGGGGAAAATGTCAGATCTCTCAGTTCTATCACAATGAGCTACTGATTTGAAGAGAAACCCAAACAATGAAGCTTGTAACTCTCTAAACACAATGGGATCTTTTCCAGGTGGTGTCTTGAATTAGTTGGATGCTGCAAGCATGGAGAGTATTGAATGAAATCCTTTTCTGCATCTTTAATCTGTTTTACGGAGTGCATCTTCAAAAGGCAGGTAGGAGGTAATGTTGCTTTAAAAGAACCTTGCGATACCCTCCTTGTTTTAGGGATATCTGACATGGCCTGTTTTGCGGGATGCTATGACGCGATTTGATGGATATTGTGTATTATATGAGACTGTACAAATCTTAATATCTCTGTTCTTCTGTTTTAGCTTGTGATGTACAGCTCTGTGTACGTAGAGCATCTCAGACTAGTGTCTGAGACTACCCTTTTCCTCTAAGCCCTAGGCATTTTTATCACTGTGCCAATAAAAGGAAAGGGATTTATGGGGTACTGCTTTTTAATTCATTCAATTCTCTGTTCATTGTGAGGTTAATGTTGTTGATCTATTTTTCTCTTGAAACAAATAAAAACAATATGTGCTGACACTGACTTTGACTTTTGACATGGGAGATAGAGGTCAACATTTAATTCTATATTTATGGACTGCATGAACAATATTATCTGTATTAAAAACTGTTCACTCAGTCCTTGTCATTTTACAACTTAGTTCAGTAGCTTATATCACGCTGACTGTTTTTTCCAGCTATGATCAAGGTGCCATCATTCACAGCACTACACTTAAGGGATTGTCAGCGTTTCAATTAAAAACACCTCTTTTTCAGGGATTCCTAACATGTGACTAGTAAATAATAATAATAATAATACGCCAAGAATGAACAGGGGCTTTCCTTTAAAAACAAATATACATCAAAATACCTGCAAAATCATAATCCCCAAAGAACTCAAATAAAGTCAGGAACTGATCAGTTTGGCACATGTTCAATGGATATTGTTACTTATGTTAACATATCAGGCAGATATAACACTATCTAATATTCACCCATTTCTTTCTTTTTGATATATTCTTGGCTGTTTTGATTTATGAGAGATGGTTTTCCATTACATGTCTCATGCCCAGACATTTCAAATACTGTATACTGGTGTCATCATTTAGTGAGTGGTTATTATTATGGATGGTACAGCTGTACCCATAGAAGACCCAGAACAAGTGAGTTTATACTGTTGTAGGCCACTTTCTTTCTTAAATGAAAGTAAGCTCTTAGAACGATTTTTTACTTATTGCTATTTCTACTTTTTACTAGGAAAGTACAGAGGAAGGCAACCTTGTTTTACATGCGTTGGATTCAGAGGTACTACACTAAGCATTTGAAATATATGAGCTTTTGCATTAAAATACAAATACAGTAGCCCATGCTAACTGCATGTTTGTTTGCTTTTTTTTTTTTTTAATAAATATTATAGAAATTAATATGCATTTTTATAGTGTTCAGTAATTCATACGTAGGTCTTAGGAGGCAAAGAATCTACCGCATGTCATAAGTCTCTATTCTAATAAGGACTGCAAAACTGCAACATTGATGGATCATGTTATGTACCATGAATCTCTGGAAAGATTTTCATTAAAAGAACTCTTAAAGACTCTTAGCGCTGCTTCTCAGCAGATGGCAAGAGGTGTTTATTTGCCGCATGGAATTCTTTCTGTTTATATACAGAGAAGTGGAGAGGACAACTCTGGTTAGTACTTGTCGGACTGTTTAATATGGATATCATTAGCATTAGAAGTGTACAGGAGGTTCAGCTATACATTCTTTTTATAACCAGCTTTGCCCTTGCATTGAAATGATTCCAAATATTGGACTGTCTTACAGAGAATGAAAAAAAAAAAAAAAAGAAAAAGAAATATAGCTTCCTGATGTGGAATCCTGAAGTGGAATGGTATAGGGACTTCTTTTCATAATGGAACCTTTAATTTTCCATTATGCATCTTCCCCTCACTTTCTCTGTCTGGTTCTCTGTTAAATATCTTCTGCTCTATTTCTAGCACTTTTGAACTTTATTTTTTGTTCCTTGTCTTTTCTTTTTTCCTTGTCCTTTTTCCTTTCATCTGTTTGCTGATTTCATTGTCTCTTAGCTGCCATTCTCCCTTATTACATCCTTCAATCTGCAAATCCTCTCCCATATGTGCTCTTGTCCTTTCCTAGGCCTCCTGCCTTTTGATTTTTTCCAGATCTCATTTCCTCTTCACCTGATCTGGCTTTATTCAACTGTGCTCTTGTCTATCTTTCAGCCTGTCTCAAGCCTCCCTTTTTCCCTCTGTCCAGTTGTGGATCCATAAACTAAATAAGACTTTGGCAGAAGGTGTCAACAAATGTGATATTCAGACCAGAACCTGACAGCTGCAAAAGTAAAAAGGGGATGTAAAAGCCAAAACTTTTGATTTGGTTGGTGTGAATACTTTTTATTGAATAAAATACTCTGTAAATATATCCTCTTTTCTGTATGCAAATTTTCTTGCAACAGCTTGAATCATATTGTATTTTACTTAGTGAATATTAATTACAAATTTATTTAAACTTGAATTTGAATTTATTTCTGGCATGTTTGCAACAGTTTATGTAAAAAATCGCACTTTGTACTGTTATGGTGATTTGCAAAGATAAAAAATTTTATTATGTAAGTTCCTTGGCTGGGAGAATTATGAAAGTAAGGATTGTGAACTTTGGAAATTCATGGTTACAATATGTTTTTATCTAGGGGATTATTCAAAGTGAAATTTAAGAAATCATTTGATACTAAGATCTTGTTTTTATTAAGGAAAATTAAAAATGAAAACAAAAACAAAAACCAGTATTGTTTCCATAATAGCAGTGTTTTAGTTACAGTTCCCAATTTAAAAAAAAAAAAAAGGAATCTCCTACTTTGAAAGCATTGAATAGAATATTCCCTGTTAAAGAAAAAGAATAGAAGGGTCCTACTGTCTGTTGACCTTTGTTTTGGCTGAAGCCTAATAGACATTGAGCTCTGCAGAGAAAAATGTCTCCCAGATATTGCATATTAATATCACTTTATTTACATTAGTGTTTTCTAGTTCAAATAAGAGGGGCATCAGTGCTCTGCATGTGGCTCTTCAGTTTAGTAGCTAAAGAGCTGAGCTGTTGGTTAAAGAGAAAAAGAGAAGTTGCTGATTAGTGAATAGATCTGTCCTGTAATGACTAAGTTGGTTAAGAGACCTTGCTTGAGAACAGAGGCCTTTGTCTAGTTGTTCTTCCTCTAGACTGGAGCAAAACCCAAGTTCCTTTTTGCCATTATGCCTTTTTCTCTTGAAGGCCATCTCAGTGGCCTTACTCTTCAAGAGGAGACCGTTGTGAGCCTTCTTTTCTGCATGTTCAGCTAAAGATTTGTATGTAGCTTGTGGGAAGCGGCATCACTGCCCTCCTGGGTGGTTAATGCAGGGACATGCCTTAAGACACACCAGCAATTTTCCTTAACCAATTCACCTTCAGGAGTAAAAGAACTCCTGTAATTAAATATTTTTTGTTTAGATGATGTATTATTGCTTGCTGCCTGAGAACAGCTGTTATACGTGGAATTTAACCCTAAATGTGCCTTTTTTTCTTTTCTTTTCTTTTTTTTTTAAACATCTGTTTACTTTAGTTTTTATTTTGTGAAAGAGAAGAAGGTTATAGAAGGTGACTGGCTGGGTACCTACTTCTATTTATCAGGAAGGTTCTGTCTCCTAGGACATCATTTACCCATCTTAACTGGTAATGATCCTCCAAAGCTCAAAAAATCTACCACATCGGTGATGAATGTTTGCTGATGGACATCATATGTTCTGCTAGGGTTTAAAAGAGCCTAAAAGAAATCAGATTCTTCAGTCTTTCAGCAGTGTTAACAGGTGTTTGTATCAGAGAAGTAATGAAATATTGCCCCAGGTAGGGAAATAGTGCTGTGAAGCACCCATAAATCAGAACACTCTTCTTATTCTGGGCTGACTAAACTTGCTTTCAGTATTTCAGCATATCTTTGTTTATAAATCTAAGTGCTATTGTGTTGTATTGTACTTTGCAGAGTAATAAATTGTAACATTCAACATTAACTGGTCAGGCTTCAGTGATAACAAAAGTTCAGCAGGCTGGTGGCACTCTGATCAATATTACCTTCTATTTATAGTATTGTTACAAATTGAAGTTTTATTTAAATTAGACAACGCTGAGAAGCTTAAAGTAGATCAATGAACTAAAATACAGTAACGGATTTTAATTCGTGTCTGATATGCTGCTACTCTTTTGTCACATGCATCCTTAATGTCCCCCAAACAAGATCACATTTACGTATCCTGTTACAGACTGTTGTCTGGCAAAACTGCAAAACTGTTTTAAGGCAGCAAGACTGTCACTGTGAAATGAGCAGCAAAGGTGATGGATAGGAGAGAAAAATGGAAAATGGTTTCTGTTTGGTTGGGGATTTGTTGTTTGCATGTTTAGCTAGTTTTTATTCAGTATATCATTCTCTTTTCTTATTCAGTACATCATTTTAACCCACAGTATTTAAGTAGAGTGTGTCATATAGCTAGTGCTACTGTTCTGATTCTGCTTATCTTTACACCAACATATCTCCAGTGACAGCAGTACAGTATTTCTGTGACTTTATATTGTGAGATTGGGTTTCAGTTTATATAGCTATATATAAGAATATAGCTATTCTTGTATTTAGAGGTAAACAGAGCCACCAGATTTTGTGGTTTGATTGGTGATGGGGTCTTGAAGACCCAACAAATATTGAATGACATATTTAGTATTTTTGGTTGAATTGAAATATGAGGCTATCTTGCAACTATTAAATTTGACTCTTTCTGTTCTATCTAGTCATTAATTAAATGCTTGTGTGTATGTGAGGCAGCAATATCTGAGCAACCAGACCTGGGTGGACACATCAGCTGAAAACAAAGGAGTTGACATATTCCTGCTCACTGACTTGACACATGAGGAGTCAGTTGGTTTATTATATTAATCATCATGGTCAGTTGGCACAACCAGCAAGCTCTCTCTAACACTACCCAAAATAAACTTAAAATGATGGTGCCAGAAAACTCATTGCAGAGAGTTAACAAGACCTCTTGTTAACAAGGTCTTCTGAAAAGTGTTTTGAGATTGATGTGGATTCGCCACTGGACACTTAATTCTTAAACAAGGTCTAAAACATCTCATGAAAATTTTCATTTCACTCTTCCAACTATAAGCACAGGTACTATAGAAGTGGAGGAGTAATTCTGTCTGAGCTTCTAGATGCTGCAGATAAAAGAAACTGATACAAAAAGATGCCAGATATACTGTATTGGTAATGAGACTGAGAAGCTTATCCTCCCCAAAAGATCCAGCACTCCCTTTCCAACATAGAAATTCTAAATGGCAAAGCCTGAGCTTTCACATGCCGACACAGTGGTCCCCTGCATTTGTAGTAGGGATACTCAGTGCTCTTCTGTTACTTGATTCCAAACCCTAATTTAGATTTGAGAGCTGTTTTTATGCCTTTCTACCTGACATTTCACAGAAGAGCAGAGGCAGGCTGGAGAAACAGAAGTGAGGAAGGGGGTGGTGAGATGTGTGCTGTCTCCCACTGGACTCTCAGATGGGGATGAAAGACACTGAACATCCTCTCCCTGATGTTGAAGGGTCTGAGCCCATGGGAAAGGAACAGCACAGCGAAGTACAAGGGCTGATCCAAAAGTAATGCCTCCTATTTTATTATGTTGGCCTATGATGTAAGCGATTGTTCGTGGTATGGCAGCAGAGGCTGAACCTTTCCACCAATATTCAATTTCATTTTGTTGCTGTGCTACAGATCCAGCAGGGGGCCAGTCTGTCAGCATGGTGCCTGATATGGGAGTGGGGATGTAGGAAAGGAGTGTAACTGAATTCCTTTATGTGGAAAAAAATGGCACACACTGGCATTTACTTATGCTTCTTGAACGCTTGTGAAGACCAAACAGTTGGATTTCAGCATGGTGAAGTGGTGGGTGATGCATTTCAATGGCGGTGACAGCAACAGTGTGTCACCTCTGCCAGTGCAGACTTGTTTACGAGTGTGGCATGCTAATGAAAATGCACAGATAATGGTGGTGACTATGCTGAAAAACTGTGTTTAGTAGTTGAAAATTTGCTTTATCAAATAGTGTTATTGTGCTCTTTGTATCTGTTGTAGTTCCCATGGAAATAAACACGAGGCATTACTTTTGGAGCAACCCACTTAGTTTCCAATTTCCCCTGATCTGCTTATTCCTTTGTTCTCTGCATTATACTGTTTTCAGGGTCAGAATTTTTTGTACGCTGCCTGATATTTGTGTCTCCTGAAGTGAAGTTTTCCTATGTTTTCTTTTCTTATGTTTGCCTACAAATTTCCCTCACTTAAAAAAGTAAAAACAATAATAAATTCTTGTTTTAATATTTGTCTTTCTTTTTCTCCCCTCTTTGCTGCCACCAGGCTGTTCCTTGTGCTGACTGCTGCAGCTGCCCACCTTCTCAGTGTGTGAACTAACATTCACATCAGATAGAGGAGGTGGAGCTGGCTTTTAGCTCCAGCAGTGGGCACAGCCTGGGGGAGAGCTGCTTTTTAGCAGCAGGAAACGTCGGCATCTTCTGAAAGAATTTCTGGGGCTGGTTTTCCCAGATCAAAATGTAAAAGGGACTCCATCATTTCATCCAGAGATTATATTTATATATGTGTGTATACTTATACACACACAAGAATAATGTATTTTCTTTAATCTTGACCTTCTCTCAGGAGATAATCTTACTCCTCCACCCAGCAGCGATGAGAATCTCCCTGAGACCTAAACCTACATAGTGTAAAAATGGGAGAGAGATTATCTTGTGCCTTTTCTGTTTTTTGTCATCATTCTCCTTTTTGGTTGTATGACAGCACCATGATCTAGAGACAGAGTGAGACAAGCAAACTGGCTGTACTGTGCCCCATTTGGCAGAGAATACTGAGATCTCCTGAAATTAAAGTTCATAGTTTTAATAGCATTTTTGAGACTTCATCTTGCATATTAGAACTTAGCCAGGTATTAGGTAATTTAGATAATAAATTCTCTTCAAAGTGACCCATCATCTTAGTATTTATTTTTTTTTCTAGAGGATGTAAGGCATAAAAGCAAGCTTTGTAGTTTTATATCTGTCAGCATGTCACATAAATATCTCAGTAACTACTGATCTTATCACCATAAAACTTCCATTTATACAGTTAGACATGTCATGTTGGTCAGTTGCACAAAAAGTTAAGCACATGCAATATTAAACTCCAACCCATGCCAGCTCCATTAGCCCACATCTTGAAGTTCTCTCTGAACACTATTAGAGGAGAAGTGGGGGAGGAGGAGGAGGAGCAGACAGCGGACTCAGATGAGAACGGACTCATGTTGAAAATTACTGAAATGATGAAAGGGATTGCAGAGGGATGTTTGGAGTCTCAGTATTTCCCTGAAAATCAAAAGATCTGTTTTCTGTTTGATGAATGACTTTAATAGTCTTAATGACCTCGTATAATGTATTTCATTGTATTGTTCATTTTTTTTTAGAAGATCAGTCTAGAAGCATTTCAAGCTGTATCACCTTTGCTGGTCAGAATTGGACTCCAATATCAGCATGCCATCTTTACACTTTCATTACTTTTGTAGCATTAAAAAAAAAAAATAAATCTGAATTCAGCAAATTCTAAAGTTACTTATTTTTAGGTTTGAGTCTAACTCAGACTTGGCAAGAATGTGTCTTTAAAGAGCAGTGTAAGCAATTATTTATCTGGAATAAAGTTTGTTGGGAGTACTAGTTTATAAATTGTGCAATCTATTAGTTTGATTTATGTTTTAAAAATTCCCATGAATAGTACAATTAATACTGATTATTACTCTTAAGGTCTTCTGCAGTTAAATTTTTGGGCCCAGTATGCTGAAGCAGCCTGTTTCTAGAAATATCTTGCATAGTAAGTTATCTGTAAAGCTAGGCTACTCAGATAAAGTGAAGTTAAGGGATAGTTTTATAAAAGCCTGTATGCTTAATTGTGTGCCTAATTTGGTGAAGTAATTAATTCATGTTATGGATAGAGACTATAGTAAAAATGACTGAAAATATGTAACTAGTTCACTGCAAATCCCGGACTCTAAATTGGCTACTTGCATGCATATACATGCTTCCACAAATACTTGCAGCAAATTGCAGGTAAATTAAGCATTAAGTGTCAGGCATATACTTGTGCTTGAGCAAAATGATCCTACCTTAGAAAATATTAGGAGATTCACTAACTTTTCATCTTTGTTCTTGTTTTTACATTTTTGTGGATTTGGCAACGTAGCACATTATTTTCGTGAAGAAATACAGAGTGCATCTCATACTGTTCTTTACAGAAATATATGAGGCTGCATTTTTTTTCTGGCGGTACTGATAGCAGAAAATCTCTCTTTTCTGTTGTTAATGATACAAAATTGACTTTGCTCCTGTATTCCCTACAGAAAATAGTGCATTAAAAATAATAGTGTTTAAATTTGGATGTGTTTAGGAATGTCACAATAAGAAGGGTTGGTCCAGTATTCAGAAAAAGTAAGATTTCTGCAATGCTATAAACACACACACTTACATAGTCTCCAATTTTTTACTTATACATCTCTGTTTAATTTAAGACTGGATTGAACATGCTTGTTACTGAATACACCACTGGGAAGACTGGTCATTATATAAATATTACAGCCAACTTGGATTTGCCAACATCTCAAATAAAGAAGAATCAAGGAGAATTTGAGTAGTGGCCTTTTTCCCTTCTTCTGAAGGAGATATTATCAACTCATTAGCTACAAGCCTGCATGGAGGCCCCAACTGTGACTCTTAAAGCAAGAAACACAATCCTTGTTGTTAAGATTGACTTTCAGCATGCCAGCTGTCCCTCTTTTGGAATGGTTGACCTTATTTTTCAAGTAGAACATGTGCCATCTTGATTACCCAAACTCTTAATTCAATGCTGTTTAATGCTTTGTTTCCTCAAAATATCCCTCATATTCAGCTTTGATTGGTGGGTAGATGTACCAGTACTGATCAGCTTAATTACCAGTGTGAGGTAGCGCAAGGCAGACATGAGGTAGCAGCACACCTTTCCCAGCATTCTGAGGTAATTAACCAAAAAATATTTCCCTGCCACCTGTCTAGCCTTGGAGAAAATCCAGTTTTCTTTCCAAGCTATGAGAACAGGGGATCATAGCAGAATTTGGGAAGCAGGATAGCTTACCCATGTATTTTCTGTTCTTCCTAGAGTCATCTATAGTGGTTATTCCAGAAGCTCAGACTGCTGCTGTCTTTCTTTTCCTGCTCCCAGCATGGTTTCTGCAGCAAAGAAACTGTGAAGTACTAAGGTAAGCCATAAAGGAAATCATGAGCTTTGATCTTCCTTGGTTTGTGAGGATAGGAATGCTGAATATACCTTTGGAAGGATCAAGTACAAACACCAACAAGGTTTGATTTTACTATGGCCTGGCTAAAATTTCTAATTTTTTCTCAGTTGTTCAAGGCTTAAACTCAGTGTACTAGCATATAAAAAAACTTAAATTTGCTGTGTGTTCAATACTTAGAGAAAAAGTGCTTCTTACCATGCCTGGGTGAAAACATACATGGTCTATTTACATTCATTATCTACACCAAATTAATATAAAATTTCTCACTCCTCAGTGGTTGCATTGATGAAGTGTTCAAAACAACAGCGACAACAGCAACAAAAAAAGCCACTATATAACATCACAAAAATATACAGATAAAATAATGTTGTTTTACACTTAATCTAGTTTGAATAATTTTAGTTTTTACGTCTGCACTTATACTGAAAAGGCACATTGTGATGTAAAAGTGATGATTAATTCTGGAATAACTTCTGAATTCTGATGGCTTTTCATTAAATAGAGTGTAACCTATATGAGCTAATGGGTGTATGAGTCCATCTACAAAGATGATATCCATGCTTAAAGCATCCCAGCCACCCTGAAAATTTTCTTTTGTGACCCTGACATATTGTACAGTTGCAAATGGTCTATTCTGATGTCATGTTTCCAGAAGACAACTCAAGATTGAGACAAATTCAATTACCTGTGGTTAGATACTTTTTTTTAATGCTGGAATTGTTATTCTGCCATAGTTCAGGAATAGCTAATGGAATTTCATTTGGAAAACAAACCCCATACTTTTTGGCAGGATACAAGCGGTAAAAGATTTAGTCCACGAGGTATATTTTATCCTGGCATATAGGAGAACAGTTGGTGGAAAATGGTTTCTTCTGTAACCCCTTAGAAACTTAACTATCTGTCAGTGATTGCTATGAATGTGGTGCATGACATGTCATGAAAGTTCACATAAATAAAATGGGAAAAGCATCCTGTTCAGGACTGCCTTTGTGGAAGGGTTGAGAAGAAATATATGATGAGGAGAAGAGAAGGGCTTTACATTCAGAATTCTTAGCTGTCATCATCTGGAGCCCTGGCTGGAGTAGTGAGACCTTCTGCAGTAGTTGTCTTGGGGTTTCATTTATTGCGTTATCTACCCTAAGCTGAGGGTAATGAGGAAAGTTAAAAGGGAAATTTATTGTCACTGCTCATTTATCTATTGGGTTATTGTTCTGATTCGTCCCAGTTGTAACCAGTTCAATGCAATAAAAACAGTGCTTGTAAATACTGAAATTTCAAATTGGTGGAAATTTGTGGAAAAGTTTAAAAAGTCTGCATGTACTACAAAATTTTATATGAGCAGAATTAGTGTTTCTATGGCCTACCACATTATTGATAGATAGAATGAGGTTTCAGCTATTGGTTAGCTGGTTGTACACGAACTAGTGATTCTTGTCCCTCTGCCTGTAATACCTTTTAGTCAGTTGAAATTTCTTAAGAACTTTAGAAGTGCAGAGCAAGGAATCTGTTAAAAAGACTTCACTTCCACTCATGTCATTGAAGTGCTGCCTGATAAACTTGCTCTGCAGTGACCTGTGGCTGTAACTGAGCTCAGCAGGGGAGCCAGAATTAATAAAATGCACATCGAGACTCCAGGCCCTGCCCATTTAACTACTGAGCTCTAAGCAATTGTAAGCAATAGCCCTTACTTGCTCTGTTTTAGCTCAAATCCACATAGTGAAACTGCTGGAGCACTTTTTTTGCAGCAGTGGTGTGGAGCAGCTGTTTTCGGTCGGAACATTTGGAGTTTTATCTTGTCATAGCAGCATCCCAAAACTTTGAATGTAAGGTTGTGATTAGGTCAGAGCTCTCCTAGAGCATGCAAAGGGCTGTTAGATGACATGGAGGAGATGAGGGTGTATGCTGTGAGAAGCATGGAGAGTCTGTGGTGAATTTGAGGATTAGTTCTCATAGGTCTGGATGGCCTTCCAACGCTGGTAGATTAATATGAGGCCTTTCAAGAGAGACTCTTTCCTGATGTTTTCTTCTTTAGTGCTTCCACACCCAGACGTTCCCACTAATTCTCCATTCACACTGACCTTAGCCTTTCTATGGCCTTTTTGCATACATGTGTGCATATGTACTGCTTTTGGAAGGAACCATCCAATGCTTAGAATCATAAAAGTTGGAAAAGACCTCTGCAGTCATCTAGTCCAACTGTTCACCTACCACAAATTAGCTGTGTGTGCCTGTGTTACAGTGGCAGGAGCCATAGGTCATCTGTCTGTTTCTGAAAGTGCAGATGAAGTTGTAGAATGATTCTACTGGCTGACTTACTTCCAGTCTGAAGCATAAACGGAAGCCAGCTGAATCTACTTTAATTGAGGCAAGCCATTGACTTAGTGCTTAGTGCCAGAAAAGTTGTTGGGCAATAACTTTGAAAAATCCTCAGAAATAAGAATGGACTTTGTAATGATCTCGGTTCTTCAGTGATATGTATTTAAATAGGTTACTTGATTTACTATCCAGTTTTAGTTAAAATGACCACTGAGATCATTAATCATGATAGCAGCATTAATTGCATAAATATCTGAGTCGCTGATTTTTCATGTTCATGACTCTATAAGTATGCGGATTAGATGATGAAATAAAAAATGTACATTGTTATTCCATTGATGTCTAATTCCTTTCTGTTCTTCTGTTTACTCTGTTTATCTAACTCTTGTCATATGACAGTCTCTGAGGTATGTGTAGTACTACGATAGTGAAAAAATAAGCTCAGCTATTTCTAGTTAGCTTTTTGTCATGCTCCAAAATGTCTCTTCTGGGTACGCTTTTTGACCTAGATTCAAGCTACAAGCAGGAACTTCTGGGTTAAAGAAGGAGTGCTGTGTTTGAGTTGTTCTTTATCATACGATTTTTTTTGTGTGTGTTTCATAACTGCTGGAGAATTTACACTTTGGGAATCAGTATTTTTGTTTTAGTGGTTGCAATAAAGAAAACTATTTATTGAAGATTTCTGATGCAAATACAACGAAGGGAAGTGTTTTTGTTTCCTCCTGTGGGTATTTATACTTTAATTCTTTCACTCATTTTTTCAGAATGAGAGCGACTTTAGTGTTATATAATAAAGTAGTTCATAGTACAATTAGTATGATGTAGGAAAACAGTAACGTGATATGCTGAATTTAAATAACTGGAACTGATCAAGAGGGACATCAAAATTAAATGCTAGATAGGATTGACATAACAAATACAAGATGGCCACTACTTTTAAGTTGAGATACTCTGTCACCCACTGATACGTTCCAGGCAAATATGTTGGGAGACTAAACATTTTGATAGTCTTTCCATTATTTCTTTGAGCCATCAGCTTTTAATTTTCTCTTTCTAGTTAATATACTTGTGTATAATTTAAACAGAAAACTGTTCTGTTTCATCATAAAAGATTTGTCTGTTACTTTTGGTGTGTAAATCAAGTGGACAGCAAAACATTCTTGAACTTGTTTTTTGAGGCATTTGTTGACAACAACAGGAAAAGAGATCACAGAGACCGCCAATAAGTGTGGACATCAATTATTTTTTAATTGTATAGGAGTACAGTACACTAATTAAAACTAGTATATCTTGCAATGCCAAAGGCAAAATTAATTATTAATTTTTATTAATATTCAGAAGTAGCACAAGGAATACATTAAAAAAGATTTTGTGGCTGTGACTGAGATCTTGTTTTGCTTTATGTTTTAGCAAAAATAGTATGTTAGCTAAATTTGAATAGTTAAATATGCACTGAAGAGATTATATGTATCAAAGACGAATGTTCTATTTAGACTAGTTATCCAGTGACAGGATATATGAGGTAGGAAAAATTCTTTAAAAAAAAAACACAGAGCTTTGCTCTATTTTACCTGAGAAGTATGAATACATGTTATTCTGCCATTGTTACCATGGATACTTTAATTATCAGATTGGGTGTTTTAGCTATGATACCTTGTATTCAATAGGATAATTTACTTTCAACTTCTAGATCTAGCTCATCAAATTAGGTTTGTCCTGAACTGATTCGCTAACCCTGGTGTGCTTCTGGTCAAAGTTACTCCTCTATCTGTAAGAACAGACTTTTCAGTGTGCTGTAGATAACTCATCTGGAAGTTGCCATTCTGGATCAGAAGCCTATCAGAAAGAGAAGCTTTTGTGTGGGAACATAGATTTCATCGCTGTAATAGATAGCATATTGATTGTCTCTGTATGCACTAGTTCATCAAAGTTATAGAGTGCAAAGTTTTAATTTTTGGAATAATCAAAATTTGTTTAAAAACCTCCTGAAGGCATTTCTATGAGAGCAAAGTTTTTAAAGGGCAGCTTGTGTCTGGTGTTATTTCAAATGTTGCCTCATTTTATGATGGGAAGTGGCTATTAGAAACCTTATCGGGATTTTGCATACTGCTGTGATTTTTTTCTAGGCCAGTGAGTTTCAATTTGCTTGATCACTTAAGATTAGGCAGGCAAAAGTTTAGATTTAATTTTTCTTAAAACTGAGCTGCAGAACCTTGAGAGAGATGGCTGTCCCTAATGTTAAAAGAAACGCTGTGAGTTTCACCTCTCACCTCTAAGTGATCTTGTAATTGCTGTGGTCATTCAGGTACTGCCTAGAAATATGGACATTGCTTGCTGTACTTTGGCTAAAATCTAAGATAAATATATCACAGATCCATACCTAATTTAGCAGTACTACAAAGTTTAGTTTTTGCTTCATCCGAATATCTCAGGCTACTATTATAGTAATATATAAAATATAATTTTGTCTTATAAACAAACTGTTGGACATGTTGGATTGCTACAATTATCCAGAATGTGCTTTTCATTTGGTTACAGCAAAGCAAGCAACAAAAAAGTTTTCCTATGTTTTAATTGAGCACTATGTAAGTGTAGATGCAATTTTTGTCCTCTTCAAAAAGGAGTCTGTTGCTTTAGAAAAGTCA